GGCCTATGGCTTGGCGCGACTGTTCTTCCTCGCGCGCCGCGGCCCAGCCCCTGGGCTGCGCGCGCCGACAGAGTCGAGGCGCGCGCAGCATCGGCGGCGCCGCCTGCGACCAACGCATTCATCTGCACGGTTGGAGCTCTAACCGCATGGAGATGCACAGCACAAGTCGCCCCCGCCTTCCGAATATTTATGCCGCAGTGGATGCGCGCGTGCTGGTCGAATTCCGCCGTCTACATGAAGCGGCGTAAGCTTGTGTCTTGCAAGCAGGGGTGGCGCGAAACTTCGTCTTGGAATGCGCGACTCGATACGCGTTGGATGCAGACCGCATAGGGATTTGGCCAGGGAGCTCTCTTAGTCGCAGTAGCAATCGGTTGCGCGCGGACAATATTTGGATTGAGCTGCAGGCGCCACAGCTCCATAGCCCACGGTCGCTGGGATATTCATCCACGACTTGCCCTGTCGTCAACTGGATGTCGAGCTGCGCATATTCTGCAGCTTTTGAATCCATTACCGACAGCTGCGCTTCCCGTGCCGTCGACGCCCCCTCGCCTATCATCGGCGCCATCGACGCCATCGCCCAAAGATGGGCCAAGTGGTAGCCTGGCCGCGAGGCGCAGCCTGAGGGGCTCAGCTGGGGCGCGGTGCGACAGGGGATGCGTTGGTTCTCAGTGGCCTGGGCATTCGGCGCGCGCGCGCGCGACTTGCCCGGGTGGGCGCCTCACCTCGCGCAGAGTTTTTTCCTGCGATCGGCAGAATTTCGATTTCGGCCGCCGCGTCAGCTGCAGAGCGTTGGCAGGGGCTGCCTTGATGGCGAAGTCTGGTTGGCGGAGTCAACGATTTGCGGACCCACCCACTAGGCGGGGACTCGCAGTGGCAGTGACGTCGGGACGCGGACTTCATGACGTCCAGCTGGCAAGCACCATCGACCGCGAGCTCAGGCTCCAGGCTTCGATTTCTGCAGATCTGCTTCCTGCAGCGGCGCGCGGCGCACTCGGATGCCGCGGCCCGGCGGCGCCTTGCATGGGGGGGGGGGGGTCGCCGACGGAAAAGCAAGTTTGCACAACCTGTGTTGGCGAGTGCGCCACCGGCGATGATCCCAGCAGTCTACTCCACGCCGGCGAGCGCGCTTGCGATGACTGCGCGCATCTGAAAGGGCTGCTCGCCCGTCTTGCCGGCGAAAGCATTCCGGGCGCCACGCGTCGAGGCGAGTGCAGAAACAACCGCGACCTCGCTTGGGAGCTTCATGCAGTTCTCCGAAGCCCAACGCTGACGTCGCAGTCTTCATTGCTGCCGAGCTCTGCAGAGAAGCGCGGCTGCAAGGCGCCCGACGTAGGGATACCCTTATAGGCAGTTTACGTGCGCTGGCTGATGGAGAGCGGGCGGCCGAGCTTGCTTGCCGTCGTGACTTTTTCAATTAGCTCGATGCCCGGCGCCATCTTGGCGGCGTTCCCCCTCAGAGCATCATGATAGGCGGCTTCCAAATATTATGGCAGCGAGTCCAGGGCGCAGGCGCCCATCACAGCGCTCACTCTTGCCAGCCCCGGCCGCGCCCGACTTCATCTTCAAGCTCGCGCTCATCCTCTGGCGACGACGGATCTGGATCTGCGCTGTCGCGCGCGCTCTCGTCAACAGGGTCGATCTTGCAGTGCCATCGCAACTTGCGACCCCGATCCTGCGTTGCTTGCGCGCGAGCTGAGCAAGGCACATCGTGGCGCTGATGCCCCGCCCATGGCAGTGGCCTTCTGTGGTGGCGTCCCCAAGGCGCAGGCGTTGGCGGCTAGATGGATCAGCTCGGCGGCGAGCTGGGCGCCGGCGATCCTTGGCGTGGCGCAGCGCAAGAGCGATTCTGGATGGCGGTGCGAATTGTCGGTTCCTGTTCTCGCCAGGGCGTTTGCAATGGAATTCTCTCGACTTTGTCTCTCCTCCAGGTGCGCCCGCTTCTCGCAGGCAATCGTTTGCTCTGGATCTTTATCGGCGTGCCTGGCTGTTCAAGGAGCAGCATCGCCCGTCTCTCCCCTCTCATTTTGCTGCATGTTTCCGCGGCGGCCACTCCCGCAATCAGGGGTCCCTGGGAACTCGTGCGGCTGGCCTTCAAACGTCTTTCTGATGGGCCTTTCGCAGCGGAGGCGCGCGCCGCGACGCCCCTCTGTCTCCTGCAGTTTGGCCACCCTCCGCCCGCTGCGCTGGAGGAGCGAGGAAATTGCCGACGCGGCGCGGCCGCTCAATCATATAGAAGAGTCCGCCGAGCAATGCTTCTTCATGGCGCAGGGCGAAGTCTGGCATAACAGAGATGGTCGGATCGACCGGCGTGCTCCACGCGCTCTGGCGGTCCTCAGGTACCCGCGCCTCATCCAGACATGGCCGCGGGTATTCCTCAATCCGGCGACGGCGCGGGGCTCTCTCGTCGTCTGCGCGCTGCCCTGCGGCGCAGATGACTCATGGAGACACTGGTCGACCTGCTTCTTGGGCCGTCGCAGCGCGCGGCAGGCTTCGACCGCGCGCCAGGCGCGCGCGCAGATCAGGAGTCTATCCGACTTGCGAGAGCGCCCTTGCCTACTTCGTCGAGGACTCCACATCGTGGGCCTCAGACCCCCCGATGCAATTGCGGCAGATGGCGGCAATCTTCGTCGCCCAAACATCCGATCGAGGTCTCGATTGATGATTCGGCCGCGCTGCACCCCCGGCGGCGGTGCCCGCCGCGGCGGAGTGGAGCTCGGGCGACGGCGGCCTTTTGATTGTTTCCGCTGTTCCGAGTCCGAGGCCCAGTGACGCACTGGTTGAGCAGTTCGTCCACGTCGCGAGAGGCTGCGGCGAAGACGACCCCGCTCGGAAAGCGGGGGAGTCGCGGAGGGAGCTCGCTGGCCGCGCCATTGCGCGGGCATCCGCGTGGCCCCCGTCAGTTTATTTCGCGGGGCAGGTCTGCGATGTCCACTCGCGCTTGGATTGGAGCGCGGGCGATTTCTTCGTGGCCCCGATGCATCGGCAAGCCGCGCCGACGGCGGGGGCGCAGGCGCGCTGCGCCAGCATTTCGCCGCGCATCAGTTATGTCTCGCGAGAAATTGCACTGTCCTGTTGGCGAGTATGCAAGTGCATCAGCTACGTCTCGCGAGCAAGTGGCGCGGGTCTCCCAGACATGGGCCCGCGTGGCATTCGATTGGCGCGGCAGAGTTCGTTGTCTCACGTCGCTAGGGTCCAATGTATTCCAGATACATCCAGCATGAAATTCGATATCCGCGCGCGTTTCCCCCAGCACAGCGCGAACGGGCTCGCCCTTCCCCGCCCCGCGGATGCGATTCCCAGGCTTCGTGCTGCGCTTGAAGAAGTGCCTCGTGCTGTGGGCGATGGGGCGCCGACTGGGATGAGTTCCGCATGACCTTTTCTTCGCGCGGCTCGTCTGGGCGTTCGCCGTCAGTTTCGCCGTTCAGGAGGGCTCGCGAGTTTGGCGCGCCGAGCTTCCCGCCCCCCGCCGGAGCTGCTCTTGAGGCGACGGGGGAATGGGGAGTGGCGCAGAAGACCTCCCTCCCCCCGCCCACTTCGCAGGCGGTGCTATGCCCGCTGACGGGCGCGAGAATCGCTTCAACAGTTTCTGGGTCGGAGGGCGCGGCGGGGTGCGCTGGGGATGCGATGTCGCGGCCGGCTGGCAACTCGCACAATCCAGCCCCGCTGCTTCAGGTCCAGGATCCAGTTGTTGCGGCGCCGCGCGGTCTGGGACCGATTGGAATGGAAGATGCCCGACCCTCCGTTCCCGTGCGTGGATCTAGTGACGCCGTTTTTTGTCTGGAGTTCGTTTTAGATGAAGACGATCCGCATGCAATAGCTGGCGAGCGCGACTTCTCGGAACCATCCGCTTTTTCGCGTCTAGCGCCACTTGTGCCTGAGGTACGGCATCCGCCTGATAGATGTCCTGGCCCGCGCGATCACATCGATAGCAGGGGGTCAGGGGGGCTCGTCTTGGACAACGGTGTAAGTTTCGGTTGATTTGATAGTACTACCATAGTGGCCACGTGTTGAGAGCAGTCTGGTGGTCCATCTGCGGAGGATGGTTGCTCAGCTGGGTGTCGCCTCCCCTGCTGCAGCCGCGGGCCCGCTGTAGCTTTGCCGCCGCTCCCTGCTGGGCATGCGAGTGTAGGCTGTGGCATTACTGGTGACGCTGGCGGACCTAAGCCTTTTTTCGACTTTTTCTGGTCGTGGCAGCTTTCCTGTGGCGCAGAATCGCGCGTTCATTATGTTGATTATGGCAGACTTGGCTGAACCGGGCGACGAGTCTTCGCTCGCGGACATGATGGACATGCATGCGGAGCTCCTTGATGCAGATCGGCAGCAGTGACGAGATTAACTCTCTCACGACCTAAGGGGCCAGCATGCGATGGTGCTGGCGCAGTCCCTGTTTTCATGGATGACTGCTTCGCTTTCGATTACAACAGCTCAGCGGGGGGCAGGCTGTCCCGTCGACGAGGCCCTAGTCCTATTGTGCCCCGCCGCCCGCGGTCCTTAGCGTGGCTGGACCGGGGACCTCCTCAGTGGCGTGGGTTCCACCTCCTCTTCCTCCTCCGTTACTCTCCTCCTCCTTCTCCTCCGTACTGCGCGGTGACGCGGTGAACTGGCTGTCCCCCTACGCACCACGCCGTCTCGGTTGGGCAGCGAGTCGCTGAGCGACGAGGTATCTGCCTTTCCCCTGGCCGTCGGTGCTGGCGCCTGCGGGCACCTTCCTCCTGTCTGGGAGGCCGAGGGTGACGGTTGAGTCTCGCTCGCCGTTCACTTTTTGGATCTATGACACTCATGACACTCCTCCTCCTCCTCCTCCTCCTCCACCTTCCCTTCTCCCCCTCCTTCTCATCCTCCTCCTCCTCCTCCTCCTCCTCCCCCTCCTCCTCCTCCTCCTCCTCCTCCTCCTCCTCCTCCTCCTCCTCCTCCTCCTCCACCTTCCCTCCTCCCCGTCCTCCCCGTCCTCCTCCTCCTCCTCCTCCTCCTCCTCTCCTCCTTCCCCTGGCGGCCGCGAGGTCTCCATGGCAGCGCTGACCGCATCCGCGCCCCCCACGCCCGGCCACGGCCCCGTGGACCGCGCGCGGAGACCGAGCGGTCGCGGCTGGCAGCTCGTCGAGGTCAGCGCCGGGCAGGCCAGGGGGGAACGGGCCTCCTCCTCCTCCTCGTCCTCCTCCTCCTCCTCCTCCTCCTCCTTCTCCTCCTCCTCCTCTTTCTCCTCCTCCTCCTCTTTCTCCTCCTCCTCCTCTTCTTCCTCTTCCTCCTCCTCCTCCTCTTCCTCCTCCTCCTCCTCCTCCTCCACCCCCCCGGTTGTCCGGGCAGGCCGCCCGTGTAGCCCGGGGCGGTCTCAACACACCCTGCTGCCGGCGGCGCCCCTGGGGCGCTCCGCCACGCAACGTGGGAGCGCTGAGACCGCCCTGGGCTGTCCGGGGAACGTGTTGAGGCCAGCCGGGACTATTTTGGGGGGCTGTTTGTGCGCAGCCCGACGCACTATCGCCATCGACGACTGAGGAGGAGGAACAGCAGGATCAGGAGGAGTAGGGGGGGTGGAGGAGGAAGAGAGGAGGAGGAGGAGGAACAGGAGAAGGAGGAGGAGGAGGCTCGAAGTTCGACGTTGGAGGTTGTCGGGCCTTCCTCGTTCTTTTCGGGCGGGCGCGCCTGGCTTCGATTCGTGGCCAGGCGCAACTACCCGCCAAGATCGGGGCCCGATTTGGACTTGTAGAGGCTCGGTTCAGCGGCGTCGAACAGGGGTGTGCGGGACTCGTTCAGGGAAGGCACCGTTGCTGCGCGCGGGGGGTGGCGGGTTCAGGGAGGGCAGCATCGATCGCAAAACAAAGCGTGGCACGGCCATCGTGTGTCGAATCTCTCCGCGAATTTTTTTGGCTCGTCGCTGGAACAGGGCGGACCCCCGCACATTTGCACCTATATGCGGATCCCTGCCCGGCAGGCTCGGCTTGTTAGGCTCATAGCATTGCGCTCCGCGCCCACCTCGCGCACCCTGCACGCCGCGGCCGCCGGGCCCACAGTGCCCCGCGCTGCGTGGGTCTTCCGCCGAGGGCCTGCCTCGCGTGGCGGCTGCGTGTCGCGGCCGCCGGGCCCGAGGTGTGCTGGCGCCCCCCCTTGGGGGAGCCCGCCCCCACGGCCTCGGGCGGAGGTCGCCCGAAGCGATGTGATGATGATGATGATGATGATGATGATGATGATGATGATGGTGATGATGATGCTGATGCTGATGCTGATGATGCTGATGCTGATGCTGATGCTGATGCTGATGCTGATGGTATGATGATGATGATGATGATGATGATGATGATGATGATGATGATGATGATGATGCTGATGCTGATGCTGATGCTGATGCTGATGCTGATGCTGATGCTGATGCTGATGCTGATGCTGATGCTGATGCTGATGCATTCATGGTGTCCATGTGAGTGCGTGGTTGAAGCGCGGTTCCGCTGCGCGGAGTCTTACCGTTGTGGTTGCTGCTGCTGCTGCTGCTGTTAGCAGACAATTCTTTGTGATGGACCCCTTAAAGGCGCCCTGGCGCTCTCGCCGAGGCGCCGGCGACATGTTCATTGAAACGGAGGCTCACGCTCGAGCGGTTTGGGGGACCGCCAAAACCGCCCCCCAACCAAATGCAACAACAATAACAACAACAACAACAACAACAACAACAACAACAACAACGTAACAACAACAACAACAACAACAACATCAACAACAACATAACAACAACAACAACAACAACAACAACAACAACAACATAACAACAACAACAACAACATAACAACAACAACAACAACAACAACAACAACAACAACAGCAGCAGCAACAACAACAACGCTCCAGCTCGAGCCTTCCTCCTTTTGTTACTCAGGGCTGGTGTTCTTGCTCGCCGCCGAAAGCCGCCGTCCTAACAAAACCAGCGCTCCCGCTCTAGACTTCCTCCCGTTTTACGTCGGACTGGTGCGCGCTAGTCTTTCTCTAATCGGCGCCGCCCCCGGCAAAAACAACGCTCGCCCTCGAGACGCCCTCCCTTTTGTACTCAAGGCGGTGCTCCTCCTCGCCGCCGAAAACCGCCGCACCGACAAAACCAGCGCTCCCGCCCGAGACTTCCTTCCGGTTTACGCTTGACTGGTGCCCAACTCTCTTTTGAATTGGCGCCGCTCCCAGCAAGAACAACGCTCCCGCTCGAGATGTCCTTTCTTTTTCCTCGGGACGGTGCTGTTCCTCGCCGCCGACAGCCCCCGTCCCGACAAAACCACGGCTCCCGCTCGATGTTTCCTCTTTTCTTTTTCAAGGCAGTGTTCCTCCTCGCCGCCGAAAGCCGTTGTCGCAACAAAACCAGCGTTCCCGCTCAAGACTTCGGTGTGTCTTACGCTAAACTAGCGCCCTACTCTCTTCAGCATTGGCGCCGCTCCCAGCAACAACAGCAGCCCTGCTCTATTCAGGGTCAGGTCCTTGCCTCACCGCCGACAGCCCCCATCCCCACCAAGGCAATCCTGTCGTTCGACACTTCCGTGTGCTTTACCCTTCGCTGGGGTTCCACTGACGGTCTCGCATCGGCGCAGCAAGGCGCGGGCGTGTGTTTTCGCGGCGGGATTTGTTGAAATTCTTCGGAGGTGGTGTTGCAAGACCTCATTGGGTTGGAGATTTGGGAATGGGAATAACGGATCCCGCTATAGAACAAGAGTCCCCCATGATGTGAATTGTTATCATGATGGTCGCGTGCTTCGTGTGGGAACATCGCGCATGAGGGTAAATCAACTGATTGTTGTTGTTGCTGTTATTATTGTAATTGAACTCTCACTTCAAAAAATAGTAAGTATTGTTGATCCCCCCGCCTGGTGCACATGTTTTTTCGATTGCAGTGCCCTCCCCGGGGGTTCGCACCTTGTTCTTTTACCAGGGAAAATCTTGAGGGTCAAACTGTGTCGTTGGCCCCGGGTTTGCGACATCAACGGCTTCCGCCTGGGGCTTCCTCTCCAGTTATTGAAGAATCGCGCTCTCGCTTGGTTTTTCCTTGCAATTTACCGCCGTATCGCGGCTCCCGCTTGATACTTCCTCACAATTTATTGACGACTCGCGCTCTCACTTGGGGCTTCCGCGTTCCTTTCGACACCTCTGCAGTTCTCACTATCCTTCCGCCCGACTCTCCCAACATCCCACTTCTTCTCAGGGCTCCACGAACATTTTTTTGACACCAGTTCGCAGTTGTACGTCCCCCCGGGGGGGTATCCACGATATGGTCTTTCAAGGGGGTGGCACGTGGCGCTGTTCATGGCGCGACGCATGGCGAAACTTATTCTTAACCTGTTTTGGAGTGGCTGGCGCAAGCCATGGCGCAAACTGAATTGCCATTCGCAGCGCGAAACATCGTCCTCCCTCCTTCTTGCCCGTCCCCTCCCTGCCTCCGATCCCTTCGTCCTCATTCTCCCCCGTTATCTGTTTCCCTTGTTTTCAAGGGCTTCACCAACCGCACGTGGCAGGGAATGAATATACCCCCCAAAAGGGGGTACGATCGAACACGAAGGGGGCGGGCATACAGGGTTTGGGATATGCATATTGAGTGGCACGCGAGCGGATAAGAGCGGACGCTCTTAAAATGATTGTTGTTGTTGTTGTGGTTGTTGCTGTTGATTTTGTTGTTTTTTCGTGTTCGCGTTATCATTACCAAGCAAGCGTGCTTGTTGGGCCCACTAGTTATACTGGGTTTGGCGCACCTGGGTGTTCCACCGAAGGCCCCAGTGGCTGCGCCCGCACAGCTGTACCACACCCGTGTCGGTACATCCCTCACACGTTTCGTGGCCACACAGGGAGCTCCAGCAAAAGGCCCCAGTGGCAGCGCCCGCACGGCACCACCGCGCCCGTTTCGCGGCCCCGTTGGGGGCTCTGGCGGCTGCCCAGGTTGCACCGTCCGCAGGTGCCGACACGACCCGACGTGGGCGGCCCGGTGGGCTCCCTCTGCCCCCCTGGGCTGGTCAGGCCCTGCCGGCTCTCCTACATCGGGGGGGCGGTGGGTACTCGATGGAGGCGGCAGGGGCGTCTGAGCCGGCGGTCAAGACAAGAGGATGTCGGAAGCCGGGCAAGGGTTGCTACATCCGTGGCTGCTAAAATCGACCTCCGGGAAGTTGTCTTCGTCCTTCCGGGAAGAAGCCCGTTGGCTGTTTCGCGTGCCGCGCTTATTCCGGGAAGTTGTTTTTTCCTGCCGGGAGGGCCGTTTTAGAAACCACGCTTTTTCCTGAACATTCCGAGGGGGTGTAGATCCTAGGGGTTTAGATCCTGATTGTTTTTATTAAGAAACCGTTGCTGGAGAATGATCGATTTTTCATTGCCATTCATCTATCCATACATCCATCAGTCCATCAATACACCCATCCATCCATTACGCACAACCTCCAGAATCCATCAATCTATCCATGAACCCTCCTACCAGCCCTTCCATTCATCCATTCATCCATCCATTCATCCATCCATCCATCCTGTCACTATCGGCCATTGCAACTTGGGCTGGGCTTGCAATCATCATCGTCATCATCATCATCATCATCATCATCATCACCATCGTCATCACCATCAGCATCATCATCGTCATCATCGCAACTCTGCTAGCCAGGATGAGGAGGATGAGCAGGATGAGGAGGAGGAGGAGAAGGATGAGGAGGATTAGGAGAGGAGGAGGAAGAGGAGGAGGAGGAGGAGGAAGAAAAGGAGGATGACGAGGCCCGGGATAAGCAAGCAGCAGCAGCCCGCCCGCCCTATTCGTCGTCGTCGGCGGCGTCGGCGTCGGCGGCGTCGTCGTCGTCGTCGTCGACGTCGGCGTCGTCGTCGTCGTCGTCGTCGCCGTCGTCGTTGTCGTCGTCGTGGGAGTCGTCGGAGACGTCGTCCTCGGCGTCGGCATGGTCGTCGTCGCCTTCGTCGTCGACGTCTGTCGTCGGCGTCAGCGTCGAGCGTCGTCGTCGTCGTCGTCGGAACAAGACAGGAACTTGATATGGACTGCGCGAGGGGGCGAGCGCCAGAACGGCTCGGGCTGGCATGGTCGCGGGTCGTTCGTCGTCGGTTTCGTCTTCGTCGTCAGCCTCGTAGTCGATCGTCAATCGTCGTCGATCGTCGATCGTCGCCGTCGCCGATCGTCGTCATCTTCGATCGTCGTCGTCGATTGTCAGCCGTCGAAGGTCCATCGTCGATCGAGGATCGCCTATCGTCGATCGTCGACCATTCGTCAATCGTCGATCGTCGACCGTCGATCGTCGATCGTTCGTCGTTCGTCGTTCGTCGATCGTCGACCGTGGATCTTCGATTGTCGTCGATCGTCGATCGTCGATCGTCGTCGATCGTCATCGTCGATCGTCGTCCGTCGATCTTCGATCGTCGATCGACGACGATTGACGACGATCGACGACGATCGACGGGACGCGGCAGACAGCGGTGTCGGCGTCGTCGTCGCCTTCGTCGTCGTCGCCGTCGTCGCCGCCAGCTGAGAATCAAAATCCATCAGAATCCATCAAAATCCATCAAAATCCATCAGAATCCATCAAAATCCAAGCCATTTCGAGACACACCCATCAAAATCCATCAAATGATGGATTCTGATGGATTTTGATGGATTTTGATGGATTCTGATGGATTTTGATGGATTCTGATTGTTTTTGCACTCTACTTTTCGATGTGGATTTTGATTCGATCGCGGCGCCGTCGGCGTCGTCGTCGTCGGCGTCGTCGTCGGCGCCCTCGTCGTCGTCGTCGCCGCCGTCGTCGGCGCCGTCGTCGTCGTGGTCGTCGGCGCCGTCGGCGACGTCGTCGTCGTCGTCGTCGCCGTCGACGTCGGCGCTGTCGTCGTCGTCGTCGGCCCCGTCAGCGGCGGCGTCGCCGTCGTCGTCGGCGCCGTCGTGGTCGTCGTCGTCGTCGTCGTCGTCGTCGGCGTCGGCGTCGTCGTCGTCGGCGTGGTCGTCGGCGTCGTCGTCGCCGCTGTCGTCGGCGCCATCGTCGTCGTCATCGTTGTCGTCGTCGGCGCCGTCGGCGGTGGCGTCGTCGCCGTCGACGGCGCCATCGTCGTCGTCGTCGTCGACGTCGGCGCCGGCGCCGTCGTCGTCGGCGTCGGCGTCGTCGGCACCAGCGTTGTCGTCGGCGCCGTCGTCGTCGTCGTCGTCGTCGCGCCGTCGTCGTCGGCGTCGTCGTCGTCGGCGCCGTCGGCCGCGGCGTCGGCGTCGTCGTCGGCGCCACCGTCGTCGTCGTCGTCGTCGTCGTCGCCAGCGGCGGGGGCGGAGGGATGCAGGGATGCAGGGATGCATGGACGGGATGCATGGATGCATGGATGTGATGGATGCGATCGATATGTCGATATGGTAGATGTGATGGATGCATGGATGCAGGCATGCATGGATGCATGGACGCATGGATGCATAGATGCAGGGATGCATGGATGCATGAACGCATGGATGCATGGATGCATGGATGTCTGGATGCCTGAATTCCTGGATGCCTGGATGCCTGGATCGTGATCGCTCTCTGAAGCAGAGTGCTTCAGCCTCCTGCTGCGCATCTGAATGCACATATAGACGCGGGGCGGCAGAGTGGCTTATACCTCCTGCTAGATTGGGGATGTACTGATGCATTGTTGTTATCAGTACACACCTTGCGCAAACAAAGAAAGAGCCATCATCACCATGACCATCATCATCATCATCGTCATCGTCATCATATGCATGTAACCATTTTAATCATAACCATCAGCATACACATCATAAAACCAAATGGCATCCAGCCATGTCCATCAACGCCCAAGTGTTTTCAATCTAAATCCAAATGTTTTCCATCACAAGCCAAATGCTTTCCATCAAGCACACGCCCGATACCCCTAGGATCTAAACCCCTAGGATCTAAACCCCCTCGGGAGTTTCTTGAATTTTAGCAGCCCTCGCCCAGCTTTCGAGAATGGGGGGATGAAGGCAAGCCCGCTCCAAAAGTCAGTCTCCCAGGGCCCATCCGGCGCAGCCTTTCACCCCGCATCCGTCCTTGACGGCCCCCTCTGGGCCCGAGGCTTGCCCCCGGAGCCAAAACACAAGACAACGTGAGACCTTCTCGCGAGCCCCGAGCCTCGAACCTGCCCTCCCCCCTCCTCCTGCTGGCGGGAGCCACCCCCCTTGGCGGACTCCGAGCTCTGCGCGCCCTCCTCCCGGCAGGCGTCGTGCGCCTCCTCCCTCCTCCCTCCTCCTCCTCCTCCCTCCCCTCCTCCCTCCTCGAGATCCCTCCTCCCTCCTCCCTCCTCCTCCCTCCTCCTCCCTCCTCCTCCCTCCTCCTCCTCCCTCCTCCTCCGCCCTCCTCCTCCCGGCAGGCGTCGAGCGTGCTGTCGAAGTCCCGGTCCGTGCCCGTGTCGCCGAACATCCCGCTCCTGAGGCCCGCGGGGCGGGCGCCCCGCGGCGCAGGGAGGGGATGGCCAATCCGTACGATGGTCTCGCGGCGTGGCCGCCGGTGGCGGCCCCACCGCTGGCGGTCCACGTCGAGCGCCGGCGGCGACCCAGGGCTGGTCGATGTTGAACGATGTGATCAGAGGTGGACAGACCTTCTACCCTGACACGTCGACTAAGGAATTGGCCGTTTTCGGTTCGCGAGAAGGCGTCGCGGCCGTCATTTTTGCGGGTCCAGGTCCGTCGGTTTCGGTCCCAGTCCGTTTTCACTAAGGGGAGGTTTACTAAAGGGAGGTCCAGGTCAGAGCCCCGAATCATCAGGGGTAGCTCGGGTCAGGGCTAACTCGGGTTCGTTTTTCGGGAGTCCGAACCCGAGTTGCCCCGGACCCGAGTTACCCCGGATAACTCGGGCGCCCAACCAGGGCTGGTCGATGTTGAACGACGTGACGTTTCGGGAACGGCGGATCTTTCAAGGTTGAACGGTCCTTCCGGTGTCCGAGACCAACGCCGAGGTCTGCACGACACGAACCTGCCGTGGTCGAAGTGGCAGGGGGGGGCAGGAGAACATCCTCAGTTAGGGTGCAACTCCTGAGAGGCTGCATGTTGAATCAGCGCTGTTAGATCCCCAGTCGAAATTATTTTTCGTCTGGTTGAATCCCGCATCATCTCGGTAAAAGTCCCGCTAGGTCCGGTTCAATCCTGTCTAATCCAGCTGAATCTTGGAATGGATCTGGCCTAATCCTGCTGGAATCGCCCTCAAAACGTTCTGACGAAGACCTTCCAGGACTGGCCTCCTGACATCATCCTCGCCGTCCCTGCCTCTGGTCGTCACCACCACCTCTCCTGTTCCTCCTTCTCACAGCCGCCCACAACATCCCCCTCCCAGCAGGGTCCACTTCGATCGATCCACGATCCGACTCGATGTCGAGTCTGGCTGGCCCGATCCAGGTCGGTTCTGATGCTCCGACGAGCTGCTGCGGGCCAGTGCTCGCATTGCGCTTGCGTGCATCCCAGCGCGGCCGCGCTCACCTAGGACTAACTCGGGCCTGTCCCCCTACAGGGGGATTTTCGACGAAAAATAAAAAAATACCCAAAGGATAGTCAATACATAGTCAAACAATAGTCTGGGGACTATTTTCTTGGTATTGTTTGATCTTTTTTGGGGTACTTTTAGGGTTTTTTATTTTTCGTCGAAAACCCCCCTGTAGGGGGACAGGCCCGACTTACACCTAGGACGTTCCCAACAATGACCTCGCTCTCGATCGATCGAGGGGCTGCCCTGTAGCCCTCGCCAGAAGTCTGGCAGAAGGCGGCGGAGGTCGACAATTGCGTAGGCAGAGTTGCTTGAGCCGGCCGTCTGGCGTTGGCTCCAGTCAGTTGGGAAAAAACACACAGACACAATTAATCGTCGACCCCTGGGAAAATATGGGAAAATATGGGAAGTGGGGGGGAAGACAAAAACCCAGAAAATATGTGAAAATATTGCTTTTTTTATTTGTGTGTATTTATTTGTGTGTCCTGGGGCCCCTTCAAACCGCCCCTCAGAGTTCTAGTCCCAGACGCTCTTTATGCCGACGAGGGCCTCCGGCTGCCCGGCCCCCCCCAGAAGGACGTGGGCCGGGGGAGGGAAGGGCTGGATTCTATAAGGAATCGAGTCCCCTGCTCCAACCTTGAACATAATGGTTTCGAAGTTCCTGCGGTCGAAGGGAGGAGGAGGAGGAGGAGGAGGAGGAGGAGGAGGAGGCTTTTGACACAAGATGATTGATGATGCTCACGGAGGGTTTGTTCTTGGAGGGGACAGTCGAGAGGACGTGTAGGAAGGAATGCAGCACAATGGTTATGAGCAGGACGATGAACATGAGCAGGACTGCAATTGATTGTTTTGTTTTCGATGTTGATGATAACTATCGTGATGATGGGTGGGATGAGGATCAGGATGAGAGCGAGGATGCAATTGAGGATGAGGATGATGGTGATGGATGTCAGTGATGATAATGATGATGCTGATGACGTCGATGATGATGTCGATGATGCTTATGATAATGATGGTGGTGATGATGATCATGATGATGATGCTGATGATGATGATGTTGATGATGATCATGATGATGATGATGATGATGATGATGATGATGATGATGATGACGATGACGGACGACGCGCGCGGATAATGGGCGAAGTCGGCCCGGCCAATTCGAACGGAGATCTTGATCGCCTTGAGCGGATCAGACGTGCCATGCTTGAGCTCAGACATGGGCAGCACCGCGCGCAAGCTCGAAGCAACAAGTCACGTATGAGGATGAAGGTGTTGGTGATGGTGATGTGATTACGGTTATAACGATGAAGAGAATGCAGGTGATTGCGGTGAACCTGCATGAGGATGATGGAGGTGATGGTGATGAGGATGATGAAGGTGATGGTGATTATAACGAATCAGTATGAGGATGGAGGTGGTGGCGAATACGACGACAGCGAGGAGGAGCATGCAGAGGAAGAAAGGACGGAAGAGGGCAGGAGGCGTTTCATTTTTTGGGGGGCAGACGGGGGGAGAGCAGGAGGAGCTGGAGGAGGCCGAGGAGCAGGGAAGAGTGCGAGGAACAGGTCGGTGATGGGGCGGGTGAGGAGAAGCTGGCGGGATGGATGGGTTGGAGGAGGAGTCTGGAGGAGGAGTTTGGATGGGGGAGTTTGGGACAGAGAAGTTGGAGGCTTTGGAGGAGGTTGAGGAGCAAAAAAAGTGTGTGAGGAACAGGTTGGTGATGGAGAGGGTGAGGAGAAGTTGGCGGGATAGATGGGTTGGAGGAGGAGTCTGGAGGAGGAGTTTGGATGGGGGAGTTTGGGACAGAGAAGTTGGAGGAGTTCGAGGAGGTTGAGGGGCAGCAACGAGTGCGAGGAACAGGTTGGTGATGGGGCGGGTGAGGAGAAGTTGGCGGGATAGATGAGTTCGAGGAGAAGTCTGGAGGAGGAGTTTGGATGGGGGAGTTTGGGACAGAGAAGTTGGAGGAGTTCGAGGAGGTTGAGGAGCAGCAAGGAGTGCGAGGAACAGGTTGGTGATGGAGAGGGTGAGGAGAAGTTGGCGGGATAGATGGGTTGGAGGAGGAGTCTGGAGGAGGAGTTTGGATGGGGGAGTTTGGGACAGAGAAGTTGGAGGAGTTCGAGGAGGTTGAGGGGCAGCAACGAGTGCGAGGAACAGGTTGGTGATGGGGCGGGTGAGGAGAAGTTGGCGGGATAGATGAGTTCGAGGAGAAGTCTGGAGGAGGAGTTTGGATGGGGGAGTTTGGGACAGAGAAGTTGGAGGAGTTCGAAGAGGTTGAGGAGCAGCAGAGAGTGCGAGGAACAGGTTGGTGATGGAGAGGGTGAGGAGAAGTTGGCGGGATAGATGGGTTCGAGGGGAGTTTTGTTTGATTCTCGGGCCGGACGACAGGGGGGGATTGGGAAAGGGGGGGCTACGAAATCTGCTGCATGCAGATGGTTTCGGCCCCGCCGCCAGGCCCACTCCTCGATACATGGGCGCCTCCCGGCGCCGGGAGGCGCCGGGAAAATCAGCTACGTGAGCTGATTCTCAAACCCCCCCTTTGCTATCCCCCCCTTTCGCCCCGCCCGAGATTCGCTAACGACATCAACCTCCCAGTAGTCAAGTCGAGTTTCTGTCAAGTTGGTCCTAGTGGCAGTGCGCTGGCCGCTGCCAAGCAAGGCTACATATGAGGATGGTGATTGATGGTGGTGCGAATGAAGAGTACTATTGATTTTTTTGGTTACAGTACAGCTTTAATTGGTTTCGGAATTATTTCTGTAGTGCGCACTGTATGCAATTACATCAATAATTGTGTCGGGAATTAATAATGTAGGCTCGAAATATTGCCAAGAGCATTTTGGTTATGCATGTCTATTGAGTTGGGAAGTTAGAAAGGAATTCGATAAGGAATTCCCTGAGTTAGAAAGGAATTTGAATACCAGAGATAGTTCTGAACCTCAAAGACAATCGAGTCCGAATTGCCCGAGGAAGCCAGGGCCAGGAAGGGAAAAAGGAGTTAGAAAGGAATTCGATAAGGAAATTCAAGAGTTAGAAATGAATGTTGTTTTTTGGGTTGTTTTGGTGTTTTGTTTTTTTTTTTTTACGACGTCGAGAGGTCTGAGCCAGGAAGGAAACAACGAGCTATAAAGGAATATGATAAGGAAATTCAAGAGTTAGCAAGCAAGGAATTTCGTTTTGGGGGTTGTTTTTTTTGTTTTGCTTTTTTAAGACGCCGAGAGGTCTGGGCCAGGAAGGAAAAATGAGTTAGAAAGGGATTTAATAAGGAATTTCAAGAGTTAGAAAGGAATTTCGTTTTTTGGGGTTGTTTTTCGTTTCGTTTTTTTACGACGCCGAGAGCTTTGGGCCAGGACGGAAAAAGGAGTTAGAAAGGAATTTAATTAGGAATTTCAAGGGTTAGAAAGGATTTGTTTTGTTCTGTGCTGTTTTGTTTTGTTTTGTTTTTTATGTACGACGCCGAGAGGTCTGGGCCAGGAAGGAAAAAAGGAGTTAGAAAGGAATTCAATACGGAATTTCAAGAGTTAGAAAGGATTTGTTTTTTTTTGGGGTGTTTTTTTTTTTTTGTTCTGTTTTTTTTTGCGACGCCGAGAGGTCTGGGCCAGGAAGGAAAAAGGCGTTGGAAAGGAATTTAATACGGAATTTCGAGGGTTAGAAAGGAATTTCGTTTTTTGAGGGGGTCTGTTTTTTGTTTTGTTTTTTTTCTTACGACGCCGAGAGGTCTGGGCCAGGAAGGAAAAGGGAGTTATAACGGAATTTAATAAGGAATTTCAGGAGTTAGAAAGGAATTTTGTTTTTTTGGTTGTTGTTTTTCGGGGGTCTGTTTTTTTTTAAACGACGCCGAGAGGTCTGGGCCAGGAAGGAAAAAGGGAGTTAGAACGGAATTTAATAAGGAATTTCAAGAGTTAGGAATTTCGTGTTTCGGGGTTGTTTTTTTTTGTTTTTTAACGACGCCGAGAGGTCTGGGCCAGGAAGGAAAAAGGAGTTGGAAAGGAATTTAATAAGGAATTTCAAGAGTTAGAAAAGCATGTTGTTTTTTGTGGTTGTTTTTTTGTTTTGTTTTTTTTTCGACGCCGAGAGGTCTGGGCCAGGAAGGAAAAAAAGGAGTTAGAAAGGAATTTAATAAGGAATTTCAAGAGTTAGAAAGGAAATTCGTTTTTTGATGTTGTTTTTTTGTTTTGTTTTGTTACGGCGCCGGGGGGGTTGGGCCAGGAAGGAAAAAAAGGAGTTAGAAAGGAATTAAACAACGCATTTCAAGAGTTAGAAAGGAAGTTCGTTTTTGGTGTTGTTTTTTTGTTTTGTTTTTTAAACGACGCCGAGAGGTCTGGGCCAGGAAGGAAAAAGGAGTTAGAAAGGAATGTAACAAGGATTTTCCAGAGATAGAAAGGAATTCTGGATACCAGAGAGAATTCTGAATCGCAGGCCCACTCGCGTCAGAATTCCCCAAGAAACGCTGGGGCCAGGAAGGGGAAACGGAGTTAGAAAGGAATTCGATAAGGAATTCGATAAGGAATTCGATAAGGAATTCCTTTTCCTTCCTGGCCCAGACCTCTCGGCGTCGTAAAAAACAAAACAAAAAAACACCACCAAAAACGAAATTCTTTTCTAACTCTTGAAATTCCTTGATTAAATTCCTTTCTAACTCCTTTTCCCTGCCTGGCCCAAACCTCTCGGCGTTGTGAAAATGAAACAAAAAACAACCCAAACAACAAAATTTCTTTCTAACTCTTGAAATTCCTTGATAAATTCCTTTCTAACTTCTTTTTTCCTTCCTGGCCCTGACCTCCCGGCGTCGTAAAAAATCAAACAAAAAACAGCCACCAAAAATGAATGTCTTTCTAACTCTTGAAATTCCTTATTAAATTCCTTTCTAACTCCTTTTTCCTTCCTGGCCCAGACGTCTCGGTGTCGTTTCAAAAAACAAAACAAAAATAAGCAAGAAAACGAAATTCCTTTCTAACTCTTGATTTTCCTTATTAAATTCCTTTCGAACTCCTTTTTCCGTCCTGGCCCAGACCTCTCGGCGTCGTAAAACAAAAAAAAACAATGTCCAAAAAACGAAATTCCTTTCTAACTCTTGAAATTCCTTATTAAATTCCTTTCTAACTCCTTTTTCCTTCCTGGCCCAGGCCTCTCGGCGTCGTAAAAAACAAAACAAAAAACCACCACCAAAAACGAAATTCCTTTCTAACTCTTGAAATTCCTTATTAAATTCATTTCTAACTCCTTTTTCCTTCCTGGCCCAGACCTCCCGGCTTCGTTTCTTTTTGTTGAAAAACAACACCAAAAACGAATTTCCTTTCTAACTCTTGAAATTCCTTATCAATTTCCTTTCTAACTCCTTGTTTTCCTTCCTGGCCCAGACATCTCGGCGTCGTTTTTTTTTTGACCCCATCAACGAAATTCCTTTCTAACTCTTGAAATTCTTTATCAAATTCCTTTCTAACTCCTTTTTCTTCCCCGGCCCAGACCTCCTGGCGTCGTAAAAAAACAAATCTAACCCCAAAACACTGAATTCCTTTCTAACTTTTGAAATCCCTTATCAAATTCCTTTCTAACTCCTTTTTCCTTCCTGGCCCAGACCTCCCGGCGTCGTAAAAAACAGAAAAAACGCCGCGCGAAAGCTTCGTCGCAGCTACAGCTACAGCTACAGCTACAGCATTAATTGCTCAGCGAATTATTTACTGTAGCACCCTACAGTACAGCTACAGCATTAATTGCTCAGCGAATTATTTCTGTCAGGGAAAAAATCAATGGTATGGCGACGATGGTGGTGGTGGCGATGATATTGGTGGTGGTGGCCATGAAAATGATGGTGGCGATGGTCGTGATGGTGATGGCGGTTATATATGATGACGATGGCGATTCTGTGGATGATGGCGACTGTTGTGGCGACGGTGGCGACCTTGGTGTTGATGCCGATGTCGACGAAAAAGGACAGCGATGGTGACGAAGACGGCGATCTCGATGATGATGATTATGATGATGATGATGATGGCGATGGTGATGATGATGAGGAGAAGGAGGAGTGGGGGGATAAGGAGGATGATGATGATACTAATGAGGGTGAACATGATGATGACTCGGATGACGAATATGCTGATGATGACGACGACCATGATAATAATATTGATGAGTATGATGAATATGATGATGGGATGGTGATGATGGTTATGAGGATGCTGCTGATGATAATGCTTATGGTGATGCTGCTTATGATGAGTATACCGTCGAACGTAAACATGGTGATTATTATCATGCTGAGGATGCTGATGCTGCGGCTTCTGCGAATGATGATGATGATTGCGATGGTGATGGTTACGATGATGACGCTGATGATGATGATGATGATGATGATGATGATGATGGTGATGGTGATGGTGATGGTGATGGTGATGATGGTGATGATGGTGATGATGGCGATACTGGTGGTGATTCTGGCGATACTGGTGGTTATGATGGCGATGCTGACGGTGGTGGTGATGATGGTGTTGATGTTGATGCTGGTGATGATTGTGATTGTGATGATAATGGCGAGGTTGATGATGAGGATGATGATGTTGATGTTGATGCTGATGATGATGAAGACGCTGATACTGATGATGATGCTGACGATGCTAATGATGATGTTGACGATGACGATGATGATGATGATGATGATGATGATGATGATGAGGATGATGATGATGATGATGATGTTGATGAGTAATATGTTGATGCTGCTGCTGATGATGATCACGAGGTTAACGACTGAAGCGATGAGGATGACGTTGATGAGGATAGGAGGAGGGGGAGTAGCATGCGGAGGGGGAGGGTGTAGAGGTGGACGGGGGAGGCCTCCTCCTCCCCGTCATCCTCCCCCTCTCATCCTTCTCCTTCTCCTCCTCCTCCTCCTCCTCCGCCTCCTCCTCCTCCTCCTCCTCCGCCTCCTCCGCCTCCTCCTCCTCCTCCTCCTCCTCCTCCCACCTCCCTCCTTCCGCTCCCGCGCCCCCTCTGCCTCCCCCCTCCCCTTGATCCGCCGCCTCCCCCCCGTGCAGGAGCCCCTCCACCGGGCCCGCCCTGCCGCCGGGGCAGCCCGACGTGGGGGCGGCCTGGGGCGGCCGAAGACCCTCTGGGGCGCGGGAGGCCAGGGCCGCTCGCTGCCGCCGCCGCCGTCCTGCCACAAGGGGAAGTCGGGCAGTGCCAGTCCCAGATCTCAGATCACTAGGTCAAAACAGATGCCCAATCCCAAAAACGCGAGGGCCAGGACAACATGCAGGCTCCTCGAGACTTCGGGGAGGGAGATTTTGGGGCAGGGTTTTACCAGGGCGGCGACGACGAACGCAAAACATACCCCGAAAGCTTTAGCCGATCTTCGAATCCTCGGTGAATCCGCGATTTTGGGATTGGGGATGTGTTTTTTCGTGGTCATCAGACGGCACCTTTTGTTGCCAATCTGGGCGGTTTCTCGCTTCTGGCATCTGGGGCTGCTTTTGGGCCCCGTGTGAGGGGTCATGACCGCTGGGGCCGCGCATTGTAGCACTTGGGTCTTCGGATATCTGTGAGCGTGGGGGGTCGCCCGTAGGTGTCGCCGCCAGCACCCATCGTCCGTTGAGTCAAGGTACCATTGGAGATTCCCAGATCCCAATAATCACTTCAGGCGACTCCCTACTGTGATGGCCTGGCGGCCGGTGCCGCCGACCCCGGAGGGGGACGACAACCGCGGCGGCGGCGGCGACGACGACGACGTCGACGCTGACGCCTTGGAGCTCTTCTCGGAGCTCTCGTGGGAGCCTCCTGGGCTCTGCCGGTGGGCCTTTCGGGGGGACGTCGTGGAGAGCTCCGCGGTCACTTGGGGCAGCCCCGGAGTGGATCTGAGACCTCTCGGAGGCCTGTGGGGAAAGACGATGCACCCCGCAGCAGGGGTGCATCGTTAAAGCAGTTTGAAAATCGTCCTCCTCCTCCTCCTCCTCCTCCTCCTCCTCCTCCTCCTCCCACACCTCCTCCTCCCACACCTCCTCTCTCTCTCCTCCTCCTCCTCCTCCTCCTCCTCCTCCTCCTCCTCCACCTCCTCCTCCTCTTTCTTCTCCCAGTCAGTCTGGGGACGATGTCTCGGTGCACGTTTGCTTCTTTTTGAATCTTGTTTGACTATGCATGTTCCAATTTTCTTCCGGAATCTGCCTGCAGGAGGACATGGTCTACCTAAAGTCTCGCCGTCGGCGGAGCTTGGCACGTCTTTCAGACCCGCCAGCCTTTGGAGATTCTCCATGCCTCCTCGTCCGGAGTTGGCCTCATCCAGCCTTCGCCGAAGAAGAAAAGCACGGCATAAACATATGCTTTCGGCGTTCAGCGCGGATTTCTGGGATCTGCACTGGGCCCCCCGGGCGGCGCCCCCGGCTGCGCCCTGAGCGTGCTTCGCGCGCCGCCGAGGGGAGTCCAGCGCAGATCCCGGAAACCCGTGCGGAGAGCAAAAAGTTTATGGTGACTCAGGAGGGAAAAACTCACAGACACACTTAATCGGCGATCCCCTAGAAGATATAGGAAAATATGGGAAGTCCGGGGGAAGACAAGAACCCCGAAAATATATGAAAATGTAGGACATCTGGTCAATTGTGTGTATCTAGTTGTGTGTCCCAGGGCCCCTTCAGTCATGTCGTCTTGCTGTCCCTCCACTCGTGGGCCCGGGCCCTCCCCTCCCTGGCCTCCCTGGCCTCCCGGCCCTCCCCGCGGGGCCGTGCCTCTCAGTGGGTGGGAGGGGCCCTGGGAGGCCCGCCGCAAGGGGGCCCCCGGGAGGCCTGCAGTTCGGAGAGATGGGCCGTCCCAGGCGTACGTACGAGGATCAGGAGGGGGGAAACAAAAACAGGCACAAGTAATCGACGATTCCCAGGGAAATATTGGAGAATAAAGGCAGTGGGGGGGAAGACAGGGACCCAGAAAATATGGGAAACTATGGGGAATCGAATCCTTCTATGTGTGTGTATTTATTTGTGTGTGTCACAGGGCCCCTTCAGAGGAGACGTCTTGTTTTTGTTGGGCCGGCGAGTAGATGTGGAGGTGAGGGGCCCATCTTAGGGACACGAGGAAGGACAGGACGAGGCCGAGGATGAGGAGAGGCGGAGGAGGTGTGACAGTCGTCGGCGTCGGAGTAGTTTCGATACTCCGATCTCAGGATATGTGGGAACAGCAGGTCGTCGGATGTCTGAGGTCGCCATTGTTTTCACGCCGCCAGAGGCCAGGCGACCGCCCACGTTTTCCTGGAGTGCCCCCCAAACAACCGCCCTAAGACCCGTCCACGAGGGGGTTTCGACAAGGATTCCGATGCGGATTCAGCTGCGGCGGCGAGAAGCTTCCTTGATTCTGTGAGAGCTGCGACCGAAAACGTATATCGTCGATCCTAGAATTTCCTCCTGCTACTCCTCCTCCTCCTTCTCCTCCTCCTCCTCCTCCTATTCCTCTTCCTCTTCCTCCTCCTCCTCTTCCTCCTCCTCCTCCTCCTCCTCCTCCCTCCCCTCCTCCGCCTCCGCCTCCACCTCCTCCTCCTCCTCCTCCTCCTCCTCCTCCTCCTCCTCCATCTCCTTCTCTTCAAAGGCGACCCACTGGATTTCTCGTGGGACGCGCTCTGGCCAGAATTCCGATGCTGATCCAGCCGTGGCGACGATGGCGCCGGAGGAGGTTGAAAAAAACACCAAGGCACACCAAGTCCTCGACCACCCTCGAACCTCGAGGGTTAAGTCGGGCGTGTCCGCCTACAGAGGGATTTTGGGCGAAACATAAACAAATACCCCCAACAATGCCCCCAAAATGACAAAGAAATACTCGAAAAATATTCCCCAGGCTATTTTTGGATTATTTTTTATGTTTTTTTTTTTTTTATTTTTCGTCGAAAATCCCCCTGTAGGGGGACACGCCCGACATAACTCTAGGGTCAGCAAATGAGAGGCTGACCTGGCAGGTGCCTCGCGCAGATTTCTTCTCCACGGGTGGCAGAGGGAGCCCACAGAGGACCCTGGACACCCTGGGTAACCCAACGATCGACGACACGTGTGGTCTATAGGTGTTGTGGAGAACTGCCTCTTATCGTATGCACCTGCTTTACCACATCGTTGCATACACCTTAGGCGATGCTTAAGAAAACCCAAGTTTTCGGCCAGAGGCTCGATTATTCTTAATGTTTCAATGTAAATCTTACGATGTTAATAGAAATGTTGGGTGTTTATTCAAGTTCTGAGACTATGAATTTCTTAACCCATGATTTCTTGAGCATTTCGCAGGGTGTACTCGTGACGTGGCCAGCCTGGGCGATGGGCTGGAACACACAGGCGGCCGCGAGGCCTTCCCGAGCGCTCGGCCCTCCCCTGGCCGGGCACGCCAGCCCTCCGAACCGCGCGCAAACCCGGCGCGTGGCCCGCCGACGGTCGGCATGCGCATCCGGCCGCGGGCTCCTCCTCCTCCTCCTCCTCCTCCTCCTCCTCCTCCTCCTCCCCCTCCTCCTCCTCGTCCTCCTCTTCCTCCTCCTCCTCCCTCCTCCTCCTCCCTCCTCCCTCCTCCCTCCTCCTCCTCCCCCTCCTCCCCCTCCTCCTCCTCCTCCTCCTCCTCCTCCTCCTCCTCCGGCCACCTGGCGCCACAGCCTGGAACGCCACTGCCGGGGCGAGGGAGGCGCCGGGAGCGAGCTGGAGCCTGAAGAGGCTGTGCTGGCCTGTGCCGCACCAGCAGGAGTAACTAGTGCTGTGGACCCCGGGGGCCCGCTCCCACTTCCTGCATCTGCGCCGTGGCGTGCGGCTGGGAGGTGCTGCTCCGCTCTGCTCGCCCTCCGCCTCTCCCGGGGAAGCCGAGGCCGCGGCATCGGCATCCCCGCTGGTCGCCTACGCGCCGCCTCCCAGGGTTGGCGGGCGGTGGGCGGACCTCGTCCCCTCGCAGAGGCCGCGGGGGTTGGCGTCGTCGTCGTAGGGAGAAGGGGAATGAGGAGGAGGGGAGGAGGAGGAAAGGGAGGAGGAAATGGAGGAGGAGGAGGAGAAGGAGGAGGAGGAGGAGGAGGAGGGGGAGGGGGAGGAGGAGGAGGAGGAGGAGGGGGTGGAGGAGGAGGAGGAGGAGGAGGAGGAGGAGGAGGAGGAGGAGGGGAGGCGGAGGAGAAGGAGGAGGAGGCGGAGAGTGAGGCGGAGGAGGACGAGGAGGACGAGAGAGAAAGAGGAGAGAAAGAGAGAGAGAGAGAGGGAAGGAGTCATTCCCAACGAAGCGCCTTCGATGAGGGCGTTGGCCGTGTACGGTGCGGTGAGCGTCACTTGGGTACCGAGCAGACTCCAGAAAGCTCGGGCACAACAGCGGGAACGAGAGTCGCGCCTGGCACCGAGCAAGATGGATAGACATGGATGTTAACGATGGTGCGGAGGCGGAGATGAGGGACGATGGGCACGATGTGTTTTCTGCTCTGTGAGCCGACCACGGCGCCATGAGGCATTTATCTATATATTTATATCGAGAGAGACAGAGAGAGAGAGGGAGCGAGAGAGAGAGAGAGAGAGAACGAGGGCGGGTGAGAGTGAGCGAGAGAAAGAGAAAGAGAAAGAGAAAGAGAAAGAGAAAGAGAGAACCCTCCCTGTCTGGACGGGCGCGGCACGCAGCGGGGCGGACTCGGTGTCGGGCTGCCCGACCCCGTAGCCTGGACCTCTGGGGCGGAGGAGAGGAGAGTCTTCGTCTGAGGTGGAGGCTCTCGGAGAGGGTACCGTCGGGGCGCTGAAGGAGGAACCTTCGGTGTTCGAATGGAAATCGAGGTTAAACTTAGGGAAAGAAGGGGCCTCGTTCCTTATTTATCGTTCCTTAGGTCAACGCCCCGACTGTACCGCAGGTCCGTGCGGCGTTGGCGCGCCGGCGACACCAGCAAGGGCTTTCAAGGTTGAATTCCGCGACGCGGAAGCACCGAGGGACACGCGAACGCCATGGGGCCCGACGGAGTTCAACCTCGAAGGATTTGGGCCACGACCGATTCAAGGTTCAACGATCGACGCGGTGTCGAAAACCTCTGCGCGCGCCGACGCCGCACGAACCTACCGTAGGCAGCAGTATCACCGCTGCCTGACAACCACTCGGCCATCTTCTGGCCTCTCCTGTGGATCCTCAAGGAGCGCATCAGGATGAGGGCTCTCCTCCTTCCCCCCTTCCCCTTACAATCGCCCCCCAGACCTCCCCTCGGTCGCAGTCTGACCAGGCCACCCAGACCTCCCCTGTGCCGTGTTCAGAGCATGATTTCGAGGCGGATCCACCGCTGTCGCCTCACAACCCGTTCCCCCTCTTCCTCCTCGTCTTTCTCCTCCTCCCCTCCCTCCCTCCCTCGCTACCTCCCTCCCTCTCCCCCTCCTGCCCCCTCCCTCCCGCATCCCCCTCCTGCATCCTTCACCCTCCTGCCCCCTCCTTCTCCTACCCCCTGCTAGATCTCCAGAGGTCTCCGGGGGCGTTGCAGCGGTCCCTGGAGATATCCAGGAGGTCCCCAGAGGTCCTCCCTTTTGTTCCTCCTTGATCTGCTGGGTGCCCCCGAGTGCTCCGAACTCCAATCTGAACCTATCAACTTGGGATGGGCGACGCAACAAATTGCTCCTCCTTGATCTCCTCCCTGCTGGGAGATTGAATGGTCGTCGCATGCCGTTCAGTCCTCGTGCCTCTCGTGAAGCGGCTCGTCCTGCCTTTCCTCTCCAGCCTCTGCGTTTCGAGGTTTGCCTAAGAATGCTGCACGCGGAGCGTACGATTCGACGGGCCTGTATTTGCTCGTCTGTCTCACGCTGCGGCGCAGCCCTGTTGAACTGTGGTGTGCGGTAGCTGAGGATAGGTTCAGCATTGTTGTGGACAATGCTCCTCCTCCCTCCTCCTACCTTCTGATTCCTCGTACCTCCCTGTACTCCTCTCAAGCCACTTGGGCTAGAGCATTCCGAGGCCAAGGTCTGCCGCTGGACCCCTACGATGCTGGCTTGCGGTTCTTCGGAGTCGCGGGCTGCTTTTCGACCCGAGGCAGCTGGAGGTGAAGTGCAGGCGTCACGACCGCGTCTTCGCGTCCGTCGTGTTCTTCTTGTATTGCTGACGCATTTTTGCTCCTCACGGCTTGTTGGTCTCAGGCGACCTCCTCACGATGTTGTACGGCCAGGGCGGCATTGTCATCATCGACGACTGGCACATCGCGATGCTGCTTGCAGGGACGGGCATTCCTGGTGCGCACTTCGGCTTGGCATCGCTCGGACGTGTGTACATGTCTTTTCTTGGCAAGGACCCTCGAGGCGCCTTTCGGGTCACCTCGCGAACAAAGCACTCGCACGACACCGAAAAACATGCAATGGGAATGGACGTCCGACCGCCCGCTCTCCCTTCTCCCCTCCCCTCGCCCCCCCTGCACTCTGCCACTGGGCTCCCATTCGCTGGTAGTCACCACCCACCAAGACACTCCAACCCAACCCGAAGCCCTCAATTTGCCCTCCATTTCCAGTGAGGGGGGGGTCAGGGAACGTTGAAAAAAACACGTGGAATCCGTACCCCCCCCCCCAACCCGAAATTCGGGTCAGATTCGGGTCTTCGGGTTGGGCTGGGGTGGTCTGGTAGGTAGTCAGGCAGAGAGAGCGCGCAGGGTGCTCCAGCCTCCCGTCGCCGGCGGCGGCGCTGCGCCGGGCAGCGCGGGCGGAGGCTCCCCCGCCGTGGTCCCCCTAGGGAGGTGCCTGCGGTGCCCCCTTGCGCCCCCGACGGCGGGTGTTTTTTTTTTGTGCGGCCAGTGGCAGCCGGGCCCTGGGCAGCAGGAGGAGCTCAAGTGGGCGGGCACCCCCGTCGAGAAGGAGAGGAAGAAGCGCAGGGGGCCAGGAGCGTGTCTCCTGGTTGCTCGGGGCAGGATGGGCATCATAGCCCCCCCCTCCCCCTCCCCCCCCCCATCCCCATACCTGTAACGTAACGCCCCTCCCCCCCCCCCCCAGTGCGCTCTGGGCACCGCCGCCGTGCGCATCGGGCACACGGCGAGGGAGGCGTTATCATACCTCCTCCGGCCCCCTCCCCCCCTCCCCCCATAATGCCCATTATCGCCGGAAAGAAAGAAACGCGCTCCAGCGTGCGGGAGTTTCCCCTCGCTCCGCGAGCAGAGGAGGTCGACGGAGCTCATGGAGGAGAAGCTGTTGGCTCCCTCTCCTCCTCCAGGCGTGCTCGTTCAGGGGAGGAGCAACCACCCGGACCTTCTCATCGGCGTTTACTACACGGTTTGGGGGCGTCTACTAAACAGCCCTGCCATGCTCGATTTCTTCTTCGGGTGCGTTTGCTAGACGGCTTCGCGTGTGTGGGGATTGTCATGAAGGTGGGTTTTCTGCTCTCTATTCGTCTCCCCACGGGCCCGTACGCGGGCATGGCGACCCTGGAAGCGTGCGCCCGTCCTGGGCAGGCGAGCCTTCCGCGCTCGAGCTCGGCGCTGCCGCCGCGCCGCGGTCGAGGCTCTTCCGTTGTCGAGGCCTCCGTCGCGGAGCACGGGGCGGGCGGCACCCCCCCGCCGAGGCCCCCCCGTGGGGCTCTATTCGTTCCCCTATGAATTCAGGCCGACCGTCGCACTGTTTGCTCGAAGCAGCGTCGATGGGAGCAGACGCGTGCCTCGCTGGATTTCCTGCTCGGTGCTGCAGCAGGAGGGTTCAGAAGGAGGCCACCTCTGCGGAGCTGCCGGCTCGGCGTGTCAAGGATCAGAAGAAGAGGAAGAAGAAGACATTGAAGATGCAGGAGGGAAGCTCATAATTAGGGAGCCGATTGAAGGTGTCCAGGCCTACCAGATGGGGTCAGAGCGGATTGGGTCAGAGAATCTCGCCGCATCGCCGATGCATCGCCGATGCGGATCGATGCGGGGCCCGATTTGCTTCACCCGGACGTCGCCGATGCATCGGCGATGTATCGCCGATGTATCGACGATGCGGCGTGTTCTTCCGACCCCATCTGCTCGGACCCGATCTAGGGGACCTCTAATGTGAGCGGTACCTGAGAGCGTCTTCTCTGGACGGCGAAGGCGGGGCTGATTGTGTTGAGGAGATGCTGCTGACGTGGACGCTGGTGGCGACGCCCGCGAGAGCAGTGCCAGCGTTCTGGTACATGGGGGCGGTCAAGCTGTACATCCTGAAGACGATCTTCCTGATCTTGGCCCTGAGCATGCTCCTGAACGCGTCGGCATCGACGATGGCAGGCACTGTTCGGACCCAAGTGCTGGTGCTGATCATTATGCTGGGTTTCGTGCAGTTTTTGGTGGCCAGTCTGGGGAGGCGGGGAAACTCACCCGGCTGCTCTCGGCCGGCAGCGTATCCCCTGCTGGACTCGATGCGAGGGTGCTGGAGCTGCTGAAGGCCAAGGGTGGTTCGGGTACGGCGTGTGCTTCAACTTCATGTGCTCCCCAGAGAGCCGGCTTCGTCTACCACGTATGCACTGGGTCATCCGAGGCCCTTCGCCCTCCTGTTCCAGCCCGCTGGCCCGCCTCTGAGTCCGCCGTGCTGCAGTCCACAACTTTGGACATCTCCTCTCAATCCTTGTGTTAAGTCGGGCTTCTCCCTCGACAGGAGGAGCATTCAAAAGTAGTCAAAAAATAGTCTGGGGACGACTTGTCTACTAGTTTTGAGAATTTTGGGGGGATTCAGCCCTGCCTCCTTGTAGGTATTGGCGCTCAGCGTGTCCCCAAACGCCCATTTCTCAGGAGGGGAAAAAACACAGACACAATTAATCGCCCATTCCCTAAAAAATATGGGAAAATATGGGAAGTGGGGGGGCAGACAGAAACACAGAAAATATTGGAAAATATGGGGAATATCTTTCTTTGTGTGTAATTATTTGTGTGTCCTGGGGCCCCTTCACACACGCCCATCCTGAAACAGATTCGGAGGTTGATAGACCTCCCACCCTGACACGTCGACTAGCGAACTGGCCGTTTTCGGTTCGCGAGAGGGCGGCGCGGCCGTCATGTTTGCGGGTCCAGGTCCGTCGGTTTTGGCCCTGGGCCGTTTTCTTTGAAGGGTGGTTTGCTACAGCGAGGTTTGTGCACCACCGACAGATCGCCAGGCGAGCTTCCTTGCTCCGGGAGTCGTCGAAGCAACCAGCGGAGCAACCACCTCGGAAGTGTTGCGGTGGCGCCGAAACGGCGGGAGCATTTCTGAGTTGCGAAGCGAAGGTTTCCATGGCGCGGCGATTTCCTTGGGATTTCCTGGGATCCATCTTTGGGGTTCTAGTGAAGCCCTCTCGGGGCGTGGAGGCGATCTTCGGCAACGGGAAAAGGAAGGAACAGGATAACGGGAGGAGGAAGAAACGATGGATGGGGGAGGGAGGAGGAGACGGCGATGAAGGCGACGACGACAACGACGAGTCAACCATGAAACTGTCGCGGAGCTTTCGCTCCGCGAGCCTCTTGGAACCCCTTTTGCAACGATTTCGCAGAGGCCCTGTAAAGACCGTGAAAAGACCCTTGCAAAGACCCTGGCAAGACCCTGCAAAGACCCTGCAATGACCGTCCAAAGACCCTACAACGACCCTGCAACGACCCTGCGAGATCCTGCAGTCCGAGCCCTCTTCAGGCCTCGAAAGGCCATCGGAAGCGTAAAGGCGAGAACGCACAACATTGATTCCCCTAGATGTTTTTCAATTATGTTTGCCTCTTGGGGCCCTCTTGGGGCTCCTTTTGGGGTGTCTGGGGGGCTTTTTGGGGCCATCTTGGGCCCCATGGCTCAAAGAGAGGGGGGTCATAAATTCAGCCCACCCCCCACCATGAGGCTCCAACATGCAGTCTTGGGGTTCTCTTCGGCCGCTTTTGGAGCGCTCTTGAGCGCTTTGGGGGCCGTCTTGGGACCCGCTTGGGCTCATCTTGGGCATCTCTTGGGCCATCTTGGGGCCATCTTGCGGTACCGAAAGTTCGTCGGAAGCGCATAGCCGAGATAGCCAACACAAACGAAATTCCTGAAGTGTTTGAAATATTTGGGCTTGTTTGAGGCTTTCCTGGGCGTTTAGAAAAAAAAACACTTGGAACCGTTTTGGGGATGTCTTTGTAGCCTCTCAGACGTATGTCGGAGACTATCTTGAGCCATATGGGCCATCTTGAGGTATCTTGGACCATCTTGGAATCCATCTCGGGCTCTCTGAGGTTCTCGTAAAGAGTCAACTTGGGTCATTTTGCACGAACCAATCGGTCGCGCCCCCCCCGCTCCCGGGCCCAGGGGACGGTGTAAGGGGAGGGGTAAGCCTTTCCCCCGAGCAGGGGAAGGAAGGATTTTGCCAGAGAAAAGACAAGCTCGTTATACGCCAGCAGTCCACAGCAGAAACAAATCGTACTCCTTGTACTTCCTTCCTCCCACCTTTTCCATCCTCCTGCCTCCTCGCCTCACCCTCAGACTTCCTCGCAGTTACCTCCTGCCCCTCCTCCCTCCCGCCTCCTCGCACATCCTGCACCTCCTCGTGCCACCCGTACCTCCTCGTACCTCCCGCCTCCTCGCACATCTTGCCCCCTCGCCCTCGCGCTCCCCCCCACCTGCGGGCCCCAGGAATATACACCCCCACCACCACGTCGACTCCTTCTCCCTCCTCTACCCTCCTCTCCTCTCCCTCCTCTGCTGGGAGAGGATGGTGGCTTCTCTTTTGGGGCCCCTCGGCCCCCCTCTCGGCCCCGCCCTCCTTGCAGAGCCCCGCCCCCCCAGTCGCGCACCCCCGACCCGCAGGGGCACCCCGACCATGCCCCTGCTGCCGCCGCCCGCCGAGGGCCTCGGGCGGGAGGAGTGGCCGCTGCCCGGCGCCGGCGCCCCGGCGGCGGCGTCGTGGCGCGGCGCCGGGACGGGAGCGCCCGTCGAGGACCAGGGCGGGAGGAGGAGGAGGAGGAGGGGGAGGAGGAGGAGGAGGAGGGGAAGGGGAGAGGAGGAGGAGGGAGGAGGAGGAGGAGGAGGAGGAGGAGGAGGAGGAGGAGGAGGAGGAGGAGGAGGAGGAGGAGGAGGAGGAGGAGGAGGGAGGAGGGGGAGGAGGAGGAGGGAGGAGGGAGGGGAGAGGGAGGAGGAGGAGGAGGAGGAGGAGAGGAGGAGGAGAGGAGAGGAGGAGGAGGAGGAGGAGGAGGAGGAGGAGGAGGGAGGAGGAGGAGGAGGAGGAGGAGGAGGAGGAGGAGGAGGAGGAGGAGGAGGAGGAGGAGGAGGAGGGTGAGGAGGAGGAGGAGGAGGAGGAGGAGGAGAGGAGGAGGAGGAGGAGGAGGAGGAGGAGGAGGAGGAGGAGGAGGGAGAGGAGGAGGAGGAGGAGGAGGAGGAGGAGGAGGAGAGGGGGAGGGGAGGAGGAGGAGGAGGAGGAGGAGGAGGAGGAGGAGGAGGAGGAGGAGGAGGGAGAGGGAGGAGGAGGAGGAGGAGGAGGAGGAGGAGGAGGAGGAGGAGGAGGAGGAGGAGGGGAGGAGGAGAGGAGGAGGAAGGAGGAGAGGAGGAGGAGGAGGAGGGGGAGGGGAGGAGGAGGGGAGGAGAGAGGAGGAGGAGGAGGAGGAGGAGGAGAGGAGGAGGAGGGAGGAGGAGGAGGAGGAGGAGGAGGAGCGCGCGGACCGCACGCCACCAGCAAGAGGCAAGCCTCGAGCTGGTGGTCCGGTTCAGCAAAGCCCAGCACACGCAAGGGCGTGGGCCGAGCGGGAGGGCCGCCCCGCCTGCCTGGCCTCGTCGCACACCAGCCTCCTCAGCGCCGAGAGCACCAGGAAGGAGCACACGTATGCGGCGGGGGGGGGGAGGCGACGGGCGACAGACTACAAGGGCGGCCCAAGAAAAACAAAACGAGTTTAGTCAGACCCCGAGCTCGCTCCATCGGGAGCAGGTTCGGGCACACGGGCTGCTTCCAGCAGCCTCAAAGAGGAAACGCGGCGGAGCTCCGCGCGGTCATCGTCGCGCTCAGCGGCGACAGCAATCTTCACGCCCGTTCTGGGGTGACACCCACGCTCCAGCCGTCGAATGGACATTCTCTGATTGGCGGCAGTGCTCGGGACTTTGGATCTCCCTTTGCATTGCTGCGTGAGGTTTCGCAGCGAGCCAAGAGAGCCATGAGCCCCGCACAGCTTGCAACAGTACACATGCAGGTGACGAAAAACGTCGTGCCCAAGGTCCCGAAAAGCAGAGCACTCGTCCGACGGCTCGGGCTCAGCCACAGGAGTCGGGGGACCTTGGACCTCATCAACGCACACACGCTGAGCTTCGTCAGCGGCAGCCAGAGCAACCCTCACCGCTTCCAGCTGCACGGGCCTAAAAGCAGCCCCGAACTCACGAAACCACTGGTCGCACACGTGTCGCTGGATCGGAGATGGTAAACAGTCACGATAGTCCCTACTCGTGAGCAGGCTCTTAAGCGACTCCAACGTGCGAGCGACGCGGCCACAGCTCCTGCATTTATAGGTGCTGGTGGCCTCACAGCGAAATAACACATGGCTAGTGACCGTGACCTTAGGAGGGGCAGGGGCTCTCAAGAGGCGGAGAGGTCGATCAGGGTCAACTTGCGTCCATGTGCCAGACTCGAGCATGCGTTGAGCAGCCCATGCAATGAACCGCACAGTGGATTTATGATATTTTAATTCCCCTGCCACAGCCGCGCAAAAACCTTCAGCCAGCGTGTGAGAGCTAGCCTCTAGTTTGGCGAAAAAGTCAGCCCACAGATTCCCAGCCCAACTTTTGACACACAGCCCACGCTCCAACACGTCATCAAAACTCAGATGGGCTGGGAACCAAGAGAACTGGGGGTGATTAGACTTAAGGTTAAATATGGACCTCCAGATCGAGGCGTGCTTGGACATGCCTTGGGAAAGATGCAGGCTCCAAGAATTGCCTTCTCGCACAACAGCCTGGAGGTCCGATACAATACTCTGATGCTGCGGATGAAATGCCAGACCCTGCCGCACAGCCCATCGTTCTGCACGACCTATGGTCTGACGCTCACCTGGGAGCGCTCCATATACAGCCCTCAGGGGAAGCAGCCAATCAAATAACTGCACAACGCTCCAACCAGCTCTGGAGACCTCTGGGACTCCAGAGTGATAGCAACTACCATCAGTGAAAGACTGAGGGCCCCAGGACCCAGAGACGTCCCCAAACTCAAAAACAGGCGGGTTGGCAAGCGGAGCGGGAATATTGGTAGGCAAAGGAGGAATGCCATAAGTTAAATAGTTAGAGTGCACATCGGGCTCCACGGTTATAGAGGCCCGAGACTGGATCAACACGCGCCTATGCTTAGCCAGGGCCTCAGGAACCTCGTCACCCAGAGCGTCAACCCCGTCGTCGGTGATGAACTTAGAGCAGGCATACCACACGTGTGCGTACGTACCTTGAGGATCGGAGCAGGCGAGGCACTGGGGTAGTACGTCATATTGCATAGCAGATAGTGCAGCAGGTAGCGGAACCACATTCCCCCAGACGGCAGCCAGGGCCCCAAGAGCCCGCTGGTCTTTTACAGCACGAATACCATTACGTAGTGCACGAAACCAAGGCTCCCCTTCTGGAGGGTCAGTGTTATAGAGGTGCTGCTGCAACCGACGTATCTGCCACCGCTGCACCCCTTCAATAATCGCAATGCGCGCATCACTGGGACACACCACCAGCAGCGAAATATCTGTACCAAGATCGCTGCGAAAAGTGTGGGCATTGACCATCGTCCAGCCTATGCGAAGCAGGCTGAGCCACACCGCCGACAGCGGACCTCGAGCCTGCTGCCAAGTAGGGTTGTCGGACATGATGTCTCTCAAACAGGTCCACGCACGTTGAAGTCTCGACAACTGAACCCTTCCGTCCCAGACGAACGTAGCGAACCTGACACACACACACGTAGTGGAGTCGTAGATCGGGTCGTACAGCGGATCGGCCTGCGTCAGCAGATACGAGGTGATGCCGCCGTGCTGCTTGGCACCTGCGATCGTAGCCGCAAGCTGCCTCAAATACTTCAGCGCAGTGTCTGAGATGCCCGACACGGAGCCACCGTGCCCAGCTGCTGGGAGAGCTCCAGTCCTCCAAAGTCGGGTTGCACGGTTGCCAGTTGCATGTTTCAGGGCAACGAACTTGCCACGACGACGTTTGAGAGCATGTAGCCTTTTCTTCTCCTGCGTGCGAACAACCCGACCAGCAGCTAATTCGTGCCCGAGATTTCTCATCCATTTACGAACAGGTAGATGCAGCCGAGCAGCCATCTTCGAGAAAACCTTCCGAGCAACTTTGTTCCCAGCAATGAGCCCCGACTTTTTGACATGGGAGTGGAGCCCGAGATCCTTGGCATCTTCGGTGAACACTTTCACAGCCCGCTCCAGGAAACGCACATCACGAGGATCCGATGTGACGAGCTGAATCGAGATGTCGTCGACGAGGGCTCTCGGTGTTATACAGGGCGATATGTCATTGAGTCTACGCACAGCACGCAGCGTGAGAAGGAAAAGCATGCCTGTCGCATGATTGCACCCAGCAAGGATGCCTTGATGCGAACAGAACTGCAACGACAAGCTGCCGAAAGCTCGAAGACGCCGTGGCTGCCTGTACAGGTCCACCAGCATCCAAGCTAGCCGCATTGGAAAGTGCAACGCTTCAGCCTCTTTCAACAGCTGCTCCGAGTGAACCATTTCGAAACATTTGATCATGTCTAAGAGGACAGATATTGAAATATCACCGACTAGCGCAGCCATTTCGGCAGCAATGTTGTGGGCAAAAGCACTGTCAGAGGAACTGTGCCCACGACGAGTACCCCAAACAGCGTGGCAGTCATTACGCTCTTGCCAGTCGAAGGTGATGGGCTTGCGAACTTTGCCCCAGACACGGCACAGTAACGAGACAAGAGCGATCAGACGAGTCCCACCATCTGGTTTGGCAAGACGACACATCTCGTTACATGCACGCTCTCTAGGCCAGGCTAAGTGCAACTCGCACAGGTTAAAGAGTTCAGCAATCGCCGAGAAGGCCGATCTAGGCAAATGTATTAAAGCTCTTGGATGAATACCCATCATGCCTCCAGCAGTGCGAATGGGGTAAGTGTGAACGGCATCCTCCACCTGAGCGGCCGTGATGGGCGGCAGCATGGGCCAACTGGTGGACCCTCGGGGAAACTCAAGAACGGAACAACCGTGGAACAACCAAACCTCCTTCCAGGGAACAAGTTCGGCATCGGCCTGCTGGTGGGGTGCCTCTCGCGCCTGGTTGCTTAAAACCTCTTGGATGGCCTTCACTTTTGAGAACCTGTGAGCCTTCGAAGCACCGGCAGAGAAAGCGTCCCTAGCCCATTGCCTCCAAGCCTGGGACGCCGCATTCTCCGCACGAGTGATAGCTGCCTTCGCACGAATGTAGATGGTAGTGAGCATGCTGGCCACATCAGGACGTGCGAGGACGGCGAAGCCGCCATTGAAGAAATCACGCACATCCGAATCGAGGCAACCCGAGACTTTTCTGCAGCGGGCGATGTTGGCCATAAAACGATCGAACTCATCAAATGCAGTGAGAAGCTTGCGAAATTGCAGGGGCGCAGTAGAGCACAAAGCATCGTTTTCTTGCAAAAGCCTAATTCGCTCACTGAGATGTTCTCTGGCCTTGCCTAAGTGTTTGGCCCACCCAAGAGCTACAGCCCAGGCGCGTGCCTGCGGATCCTTATAAGTCCTCCTTCTGGGGGGAGTCCAGACAAGCTTTTTGAAGTGGACCTCCAGAGGCCCGCTGCGGCCAACATAGGCCTCGGCGGCTAAGCCAACACGGTCCCACCTGGCGGCCAACTCTCTTTCCACCCCTTCGAGGACGAGACCCCAAAAATCAGCAACCTTGGCTACAGAGTCAACTTGCGGGGCAGCGGTCGACAAAACCGAGTGCCACGGGTATATAGGAGGT